CACGTCCAGCCGTGATGTAAGCCGTTTCTACACCGTTCGCCGAGCAAACAATAATGCGCCACTTGTTCTAAAGTAGAATAAACAATAAAACTTACCACACGTCGCTGTTGTCAGTCCCGGAGAGAAGAGTGCGTGCTAGCCGGTAAGCTAATTAGCGCGCGCACAAGACTCCTAACGTTAACGATAGCGCGCGCGGGTAAATGAAAAAAAAAAATTAAAAACCGATCGCGAAAATCTTTTCCGCTCGCAAAGCAGCCCGAAGTCACTTTAAAAAAAAACGGCGTTCGAGTACGTGTGATTAGATATGAAATAAGTCCGCCTTTTCCCCGATCCAGAAGGCTCTCAGTTTGAATGAACGCTGCGCTGCCGCATGTGTAGAACTTGCTCGTGCCGGTGAGCGGAACATGGGGGTTCTTTTATCATTGGATACACCCTGAACCAGACTCCTCCTCCCAGCTGTCACACCGCCGGGGAGTCATGCGCTCACTGCGTGGACGGAGGACTCAGCAGAAGATCCCACTGCACGCAACAGAGGTCTTCTTCTTTAACAGTATTTATTTTCTGTAGCTCATATTCAGGATCAGAAATACTTTATTGATTGTTGCTTACAGCTGATCAAAATTCTAGAAATGCAAGCAATACAACAAATATGTGGACCTAAAAATATAAACACAAGTAGAAAAAGTCTAAGCATTAAATGTAAAATGTGCATTGTTATAAGAAAAATAACAATCTAAGTATGTAGGTGTAATAAATAGTAATGGAGTTATATTTGTGTGAGTGCTCAGAGACACAGATGTCACACATCAATGAGTGTTAAGTCAAAAAAAAGGAAGTGGAAAGTTATGCAACTACAGGCACTAAAAAATAAAGTAAAGAGCCCAGAGTCTATAAACTCCGTGTCTGAGTGAAGAGGTTGATTATATATTGAGTTATATGGTTTTGACTGACTTGCAATGTCACTAATTTTTTTTTTTCTTTTTCTGTAACACAATGTCAGACTGTTAGTCTTTATAAGTTACATAATGTGTGTGTCCAACAATTTGGGTACATCAATCATATAATATCCATATTAGTACATATCTGTACATGCAAAAGATGTACATGGTCTTTATTTTATTGTTTTTTTAAACTTGTCTTGTTTCGTACTATGCTTCATTAAATCGGTGAAGATTGTCTGATTTTATCTCATTGCCGTTGTTATTTTATACTCTTTGCGAGAAATATTACTTTGCACAGCCCACATTTTATTTTCCAGTCGTATCATATCCATGTGTGCACTTATCTCTACATGTGAAAGATGTACATTGTCTTTTTTTATGTTTTTATTGTTATGTTTATTACACTTTTATTATTTCTTATCTTGCCTCTCATTGCGCTTCATTTGTTTTTAGCTGGGATCAATAAAGTTTATCTTATCTTTGTCTCCATGTTTATTTTATACTCCATTTGCACTACCTTTGGTAGGGAGATATTACTTTGCACAGCTTGTATTCTTTTCATTTTCACTTTTACATAGTTTAATATTTACTTTACTGCTTTTTAGCATACCTACATTTTTATTTTTATTTATTTTTTGGTTCTATGATTCCACTACGTATTCAGATATTACATCTAGTGCCAATTTTGAGACACTTTACTTTTCCATTTGTTGTTGTTTTTCTTATACTTGCATTCCACTACAATAACATATCTTTCACCCAAATGGTCATCCTATAACCTTGTAGGAGACAGACACAAACCACAACAGCCCTGTGTTTTTCTAACTCTGAGAGAAACAATGCAGCGTGAAAACAGAGCATGAAAACAGCCGGTGGTGTTGGTGGTGGTGGTGATGTTAACTGCATTACAGAAGACTTGTGGGTCATTGAAGTGCACTCGGCTGGAAATGATAACAACATTCACCCTCTAACAAAAGTGGTTTTCTTTTGGTCACAGTTCTTTTTATTATGTTCATCAAGACAAAAACGGGATATTTTGCTGAATAGAAGTAGTGCATGATAATGTGTCGGGCTTACTGAGAGTTTAGGCAAAACCAAACCAAAAAAAAAAACCGGGAGGAAAAAAAAATCGTGTTTGCATGGCAACCACGAGGAGGAAAACAACGACAACTAAACGCACCACACGTTGTGTAATAAACAAGTATATGGTGCACAGCTGTAATAAAGGACATTATGTTATTTCACTACGAGCCCACTCCCTTTGTTGTCTCTGCCTGTTTGACGTCACTTCTTTGGATCATGGAAAATTTCCAGCCTCCTCGGAGACGTTCAGGGTCGACGCTTGTAATTACGATTCTTGGCGGCAGCACGTGAAGGCCGCATTGGCAGAGAAGGAGTGGCGAGGGTCGTGGAGTTTTTTTTTTTTTTTTTTTTTTTTTTTTACTCGATTGGGCATTTCCAGAACTCCATGCGTAAAGATAATTTACATCTGCTTTAACCCCCACCTCAGCCACACATAAGCCCTCCTTGTTTTAACCACAGACCAGTGACCTCTGCTCAAAAGATCAGAATATAGAAACTGTGAATGTAGGACAAGGCGTTCTTGTAACTGGTGTAGACTGGTTTAGACTTGCATGGGCCACAATGAGACCTAATTCAGAAATTATAGTGTAATAAAAGTTTGTGTTTAGTTTCACAATGTGTCATTCAGAAGATTACCATCAGATGGATGGAACCACTTTATGTAACATACTGCGCATCTCATTAACTTACATGCACACAGACCCTACAGGGATTTTGCATCCACTGCCAGCGTTACATTTTTAAACTGTAGATTTCTGTATTTTAACGTAGCTGCATATATTTGTACTGAAATGCTGCTAGAGACTTGGAGACAACACTTCAGTTCAATTTTAAGGCAGTTTGGCGAGCGAACCAGTTTATTTATACAGCACCTTAGTACACACAGAGGTTATTCAAAGTGCTAGAAATGCTAAATAAAACATGCAATCAAAATGAAAACAGTACAGACAAGTGGAATGAAGTGCACACAGTGTTTCCATTTTATTTTATTTTATTTTTTGCTATTTCATATTTCCATTCGCCTAAACTTCAAATATTACTTCGTACAGTTTTCCATTTATTTCATAGTTATCAGTTGCTTGAATATTCAGTATTTATGTCCTGCATTTGAACATACCTGCAAACCTGACTCCCTGAATCAATAAGAAAACTACTGCTCGTGTGGATTCTGGTTGCTTTAGTGATAAGTAAAGTGACACCAGCATGTGGTGCGTTTGCACGTGGCTCCTTTCGAAACATCAGCTCTTGATGGTCTTATGATTCTAAAACCGTTTGAAGCTTTCATGAGCAGCAAACACATGATTTCAAATAAACTTCGATGAATCAAGTCACCGCTCAGCCTAAATAAAGTGTTTCGTCTAGTTACACCCACTTCAGCAATGCAGTGAGATTTCAGTAAAGACGCATGCTGTGTTACTTTTACGGTTGTTTCATAATTCTGGGATGTTTCACTGATAAAGAGTTCCTACGTGCTGCTTTGCACAAAGCAATTGAAATGGCTGACGAAGGGGAACACAATGCATCGGCTGCTTTCCTGGGGAGCACAATGATGCCACAGAGCCTTTCTTGGTTTGTTTCTGTGCTTTACAGGGCCGCAAGTTACAATTATTTTTATTGTCGACTGTTTTCTTGGTTGATCAATTTGTTGTTTGGTTGATAAAATGTCAGAAAATGGTGAAAAATGTCAGTTAGTGTTTCCTTAAGCCCAAGATGACATCCTCAATTGTCTTGTTTAGTCCACAACCCACAGACATTCAGTTCACTGTTAGAAAAGTAAAGAAATTGGTAAACGTTCACATTTATGAAGTCAGAATCTGAACAGTCTTTTCTAAAAACTGAGTCAAACTTATTGATGGATTATGAGAACAGTTGCCGATTCTTTTAGTGGTCGTCAGCTGATCGATTATTCGCTGCAGCTGAAAAGTCTAAAAGTCCTTTCTGCTCATCCAAGCCACACCCAGGTTCTCTTGTGAACTTATTTTTTTCAAAGTTTGAACAAAGAACCCAGAGCTGAATCAGATTTCCAGGCCTCCAGAGTTATGTAACACTCTCATCCTCTGTGTGGTTACACATCGCCACCTGCTGTACATTACCTCAATAACATCTTGATTTTGGGTTTTCTTTCTCTGCTGATTATAGTGTCAAACATATAATGTGAATTTATCTTTTCTCCAGTTGGGTAGTGGCGTTTAAAATACAATTTTGTAAAGTTTTGACTGCATTATTTAGCTGACTCAGGTAAATTCACAGTAGAAGTAACATTAGAGGGTCTTAACCTTAGTATTTAATGGCTGTATGCGCCGTATAAATAAAAGAGACTTGACTCCTCTTTTCCTGGTGAGAACAAATAAAGAAATTCAAGAACTTTATCACTTTTGGACAAATTCATTTTAAATTAATAAATGAATGAAGTGCCAGTGATGCACAAACCAACTTCAGTTTTAGTTTGTTTGAATCAACAAAACCCAACACATTATTCCAGCTGGAAGATTAATTCTAAAAACAAACGTGTGACTGGTGTCTTATGAAATCATGCTTTCCCTCAGATCCCTCTCAAAAACACGTGCTCAGCCGTTTCCTTGACACAGGTGACTTTGTGTTGTAACTGATCCGCTGGAGGGCGACTCTGACTTCCTCCATCTCTCCATAGACACCGATCCTGGACTAGATTTGTAAACCACCTTCTCCCCTTAAAGTACCGGAGCTCACCGGGCAAGCTGGGACGCAAAATCTGATCCCAGTTCATCGAAGGACCTGGAAGGATGGGGGGAGACGCTCTAGTGGAGACAACCGCACATGCTGGTGCCTGAGCTACTACTTTGAAGAGCGACCGCAGTTTAGACCAATAAGAATTGGGCTGGAAAAACGAACGTCCAATCAGCGGCCGAGTTGTAATCTGCAAGGCGGGGTTTGTGAGTGGGCGTGCTAGTGACAGTAGGAAGAGGAGGTCAAATGCTCTGCAAGAGTTAGAAAAACGTGAGGCCGCAGTCTCCAGGAAAGATACGCAGGTAGACAGTTAACGTATGAGCAAATAGTTCACAGTGCAGTTGTCGGAGTTTGGTTTTAGAACTATTATTGGCGGTGTCGGGGCGGGGTGCACGTTAGTTTGTCCGGGTCGCCCTAGCAGGCAGTTGAGAGGCAACGTTAGCTAACACTAGCTAACGCGTGTTAGCAGCTAGAGTCTCGACAGCTAGCATTGCAGCAGCAGTAAAGTTATGACATTTGCTCACTAAAAGTCAGCGTTTTTATCTATATAGAGGTAATGCATGGTGCGTTCTCACAGGACATTATCTTTGGCCGCAGAGTTCGTTAGCTAACCTAGCCGCTGCTCGTTGCTGGCTGTTGTTGTGTCTTTAAGGACTTGTGTCACGGTCACAGCTGTCATGTTTCACTCCGTGTCCCGTCGGCCGATCTGCGAGGTCGGACTGAACACAGTGAGGCTTCAGGGCGGCAGGTCGTTCAAACGGGCCGTGGAGGAGGGCAAAGGGAAACTGGAGAAGGTCCCCTGGCTGGACAGGAGCGTGGGCCTGCTGCTGTCCTGGCTCCAGAGGGCAGGTGTGGGTGCAAGCGAGGCCGCGGGATCAGGCCAAAAGAGGAAGGGCTTGCTGTCCATATTTGCAGACCACTGTGGCTTTGTGACCGGCCAGAGGCTCCGACGTGCCTGCCAGATCGGCGAACTTTACTCCAACTTGTACTCCGAGCGAACCAGGTGGACCCTGGTGGGCAACATATGGCGCAGGTTTCAGAACAAGCACGCCCCCACTGGGAAACTTGTGGCGGCTCTGGCTGGTGTCTTCATGTGGGAGAATGAAAAGATTCAAGAAGAAGAGATGCGCAGGTTGGAAATCTTTCTTTGAATGCATGTATAGATATATTGATGCTTCAACATACAGCTGGGTGACAAGTTAGGTACATCAGAGAGACATTGCAAGCACAAAGTCTCAGTAACCACAGAACACTAGAAGAGGAAGTAACTCTTGTGTTCATCCATTTGCTTCAATCTTTGATTATTGACATTCCTCTGGTAGATCAACACTGTTGTCTCCCATTTGCATGTGCAGTGCAGCATATTTTATATTGCTTTCATCTGTAAAGTCAGCTGTGCACAATGCCAAACCCCTCCTCATATGTACATCTCTTTTTAAAGGTGTGGGCTTGAGCTGCAGGCCCTGGAGTCCGTCAAACGTCTGAGCTCATCTTCGGGAGGCGTAGCAGGACAACAGGAAGGTGGCTGGGAAGTTGTGATGGAGAAGAAAGACTTCAGAGTGTGGAAGCGACCGATTCCCAACAGTCACCTCTATGAATACAGAGGTCAGCTAACTAACGTTTTCTCAGTTTATGTGAATTGTCTGAAGAGTCAGCCTCTTATATTTGTGTTTTACTTGCAGTATTGGGCTCCTACAACGATGTCACACCGAGGCAGTTCTTCAACGTACAGGTACAGACTCCTTCAATCTTATTGTGTGTGACTTGGACTATGTCGGTAATAAATGATTGCTTAGCATACAATAAGAAATCATCAGGTGTATTCAAATACCTATACTACCTTACTATGTAGTATGCCAGCAGTATGTTCCAGTACATAAATAACAGAAGAATATCAGGTTGTTATACTACATCCAGTCTCATTTTTTAGTATGTAAACCAACATGCTTTTATGGCCATTCGGACCCACAATTCTTTGTGCAGTGTCTCAAAAGAGAGTAAAAAAGCTCGGGCCGCTAAGAGCACACAGTCAAAATGACAGCTCATTTTACACAACAGACTGCGACGGTCAAAGTTTGAGGCAAAATATTATGACAGAACAGTACGACCCGACTGTATGTACATACTGCATGGAATGGTATGTACTCAAAGTAGAAAGACAGAGTATGCTATTTGGCATGTACCCTTCGTTGCCTGTCAGGAATTCAGGTGTGCTGCAATGTCTTCTGAACCACAAGGAAACTCTGTATTACCACAATAAAATGATCATTTTATTGATTTATGGTCTGCATTGCCAATAATTTAGCCGAAGATCTATTGTTGATAGCAGTGGGGTTTTGACATGTGAGTTTTTGTTACGGCTCGCGCTTATGTAATGTTTGCACCAGCCTGCTTCACATTCTTCTTGCCCAGCTGCCCTTCGCAATGTGTGTTGTACACAAACAACTGTGGCGCTCTGTGCTATTTTAATTTCTGCCTTTCCCTTTCCCCCAGTTGGACACAGAGTACAGGAAGAAGTGGGATTCTCTAGTTATCAAGCTTGAGGTGGTGGACAGAGATGTCAGTACGGGCTCGGAAGTCGTGCACTGGGCGACACACTTTCCTGTGAGTTTGATTGCGTTTATCTCTGAAGAGAAGAGGCTGTTTGTCGAGTTACTGTGTGTTCACAGGCTGTTTTTTTTTTGTTTTGTTATACAAGCGAGATATGAATGACCTTGGATTGCCATTTGGTCAAGAGCAGTTTGTATTTCAAACTGCCAGCTGTTATTCAACCTCGATTAATCTCCCTCCACAGTATCCCATGTATTCGAGGGACTACGTGTACGTGCGCCGCTATGATGTTGACGTCAACAACAACTTGATGATCTTGGTATCCAGGTATGTGCTTTTTGAGTAAAATATGACCATTTTTGGTTAATTTAGCTACATAAGCAAACTAAATGCTGTCTCTTTATCTTGTGTATTTGTAATTCTGATGTGTAGGGCCGTGCAGCATCCTCGAGTCCCAGAGAGTCAGGAGTTTGTAAGAGTTCATTCATACCAGTCAAAGATGGTCATTCGCCCTCACAAGTCCTTCGATGAGGTTTGTGGTGAATCTGATGCTACATAAATGATTAACTTTCTTCCCAAGTGCTGTGATTTGAAACCCCTGATTTTGTTTTGTTGTTTTTCTACACAGAACGGATTTGATTACCTGCTGACCTACAGTGACGACCCTCAGACCGTCTTTCCCCGATACTGTGTGAGCTGGATGGTGTCAAGTGGTGAGCTCTTCTTTTCTTTTTTTTTTTGTTTGGTTGTTACTGTTCAGGGCAGGGATCTCCACCTCCAGTCCTCGTGAGCTACTGTCTTGCAGGTTTTAGATGTTTCCGTACTGGAACACACCTGACTCAAATGAATGGCTCGCCAGCAGCTTGTTATCAAGTTCTACACAAGTCTGTTAATGATCCATTAGTATGAGTCAGGTGTGTTGCGGTACGGAAACGTCTAAAACCTGCAGGACAGTAGCTCACGAGGACAGGAGTTGGAAATCTCTGGTTTAGGGCTATATAAATAGGTAATTTTCATTATGTTTCATTATCATTTAATTTATTTTTTGGTCAAAACCCTGAAACATATTGGGTTGCAGTTACCTTAAACATCAAATCCTCACGCTTGGAGCTGGAACCTTCAAATGTTAAGCATTCATTCAGATTTCTGTGCATTTTTTATACTTACATAATATATTTGTTTCCACTTATTTCACGTTATTTAAATAAGGAGTTGATTATAAGGAGGCTGTCTTCTATTTCTTGTCAGGTATGCCAGATTTCCTGGAGAAGCTGCACACTGCTGCTTTGCGGGCCAAGAACCTGGAAGTGGGGATCTACGACTACGCGGGTGTCATCAAATCCAGCGACACCAACCGGCAGCCGAGCCAGGAGCGCCACACTGGAGAAAACACGCATACAGGTGGTTCGGGGCAGATCTACGCCTGAAATGGATTTTTTTTTTTTTTTTTTTTTTTTTTTTTTTTAAATCTAGGTGTTACGTTTGTGTGTTTTCACTTGCACTTGAATCCGAAACAAACCCTCCAACCCACATCAAGGGTACAGTACATGAACTAAAATGAAGGTTGCAACCCACACTCACAGACTCTTGTCCATCCACGGTTATACTGGTTGTTGATGGGATGTCACAAGAACAATGGACTGTGTTGTTGACAGCGTTACTGTTGCTATGGAAATTGTCACCCAGGCTGCTGGTCTTGGCGCTATTTTTGCTCGGCCAGGCGATGCCACGTGACACTCTGTTGCCCTCTTTGGTAATGGCATATATCCTACAACCTTTATTGAGATCGAGCCAAATTTCCTAACTGTAGTGATGCTTTTGCCAAAGCACTGTTTCTCTCATTTTAACGGTCTATGGCTTGTCTTCCGTTATTTGACTGACTTTACACTCTGTTCAGACCTCCAGCATCCACATGACTGTATTGGTTTCTTTGGTGTGATCACAGCGAGACGTGGAAATGCTTTTGCAGCATTTGACATGAAACGGTAACTCTTGACTGACTTCTGGTGGACATCACTGAAATGTTAACGCTTGGCCACATTTATGCACTGACTGATGAGGAGCTGAAGCCTCTGGGGGAAGCTTTGTAACAGGTGTCTTCATTTCATGGATTTAAAGCAAGTGGTTTCCTGTTTGCTCACAGCATGAGTGATTTATATGACTGGAAGAGGTGTATTAAAAAAGAAAAAAAATCTTGGGGGGGAAAAAAAATGACACCATTACTGGAAAAAATGTCCACAGAATGTAAAAAAAAAAAGGAAAAATGTAGGGCTTTTTCTTTGCGCTTTGGGGACGCCATGAGGTTCAGAGCGTCGGTCTCACCGTGTCTGCGCGAGTGTTGGAAGCTGCCAGCCTTCTGAAGATAAACCAGTCCTTCAGCATTAGGGGCATAGTGTCTTATAACAACCATGTAAACCCTCAGATACAACGGTACTAACGTGCTTCTAGCAAGGCAGTCGTACAGAGACACGCTCTAACAAACCAGTGCCCTTTTTAGAGGAAGCAGTTATGCCGCATTGCAATCCATTTACATTTCATAGGAGCTTTAAACGATGAAGTTGTCCCATTTCAGCGTAGAGATCATTCTGTTATCCTGGTGTTCATCAGTATAAATTGCACTCTCGGAGTTGTGGGCGTTTGTATTTTCTCTGTGTTACTGCGGATCTTGTACATTCATAAAACCATCGCCTGAGTACTGAAAGTCACTGTTCAATGAGTATCCCGAGCTCTGTAACCTTGTTCTCCTGAGTTGTGGTTCTACAGTTTTTGTTCACGTGAGTCCTGCTGAAACTCCACAGAGTTCATCCTTCCTAGTCGCCCTCGTTGATGAGCTGTACGCTGCAGGTGTTATGAATGTACAGAGAACACCACACGCCGTGGACATCGCCTAATAAAGTACACTGTTTACAGCCTGACAGACTGGCGCAAACATCCTAAAATCATTTGTGTTAAGAAAAAAGTAATCTTGTACTAGTTTCATGTCCTAATTTGTGTAGATGGTACATCTGAGTGAATCAGCTGTTTCAAAGTGAACATGGTGGGTTCCACTTTTGTGAAGGAGGTCCCGTGTATGAGTGTTTGAGTATAATCCTCCTCGTGTCAAAAATATAATTCTGCCCTGTAGTGAAATATTTAAAAGAACTTAACATGTAAGATAAACTTGATATGCTGAAGATGTAAGGGGAAGAAGTGAAATGCTCGTTTTTGATATTTATCACATACTGTCAAATAAAACTGTGAGACTTTAAAGATCATATTAACTCTATGAAACATGCCATATTTGCTAACGTTTAGCTTGTGTGCGAATGTATAATTTTAATGTGGTTTGTGGACACCTGCGTGCCACCTGCAGCGGTCTAGAAGAGTTGTCATCTTTTTGTGTTCTGCAGGCAGTATAACATTTGTTGTGATTAGCTACCACATGTGAATTAATTTAGGAACAGATAAATAATAAAAGGATTGTGTGAGTTGGTGCACTCATATGATTTTAAAACATGATTGCAATGGGAGCGCAACTAATTGGATCCAATAAACAGATCTTCATGTGTGTTCAGACTGCTCTTGGTTGTGACCTCGTTCTGCTGGAGGAAATGAGTGATTAGCTTTGCGTTAGTGCCAAAACAGACGGCGTAGTCCAGACTAATGGGATCAGCCGTAAACCCCAAACGTGTTCTCTGTCTGGGCGTAGACGTGCACACAGAGGCTTCACGGTTTACTGACAGCACTGATGAATTGATCAGCTTGGGACGGGAATAACTCCGCCGTCTCTCAGGTTCACGCTACATACTCGTTGCTGATAGCGCACCACATGCTGATCATCAGAGCAGGTGTGCAGAAATTGTTGGATAATTTTCTGTAGTCTCAGACATTTTGACTTGTGCAGGTGTGTAAATAATGGCTGCATTCCACATCGGGGCGGTGCCGCGTTTGTGCTCGCTGGCTAGTTTCACGTAGACCAGGGGTGTCCAACCCTGGTCCTCGAGGGCATGTTTTAGACGTGTCCCTCTTCCAACACACCTGATTCAAATGATCAGGATCGTTATCAGGCTTCTGCAGAGCTTGATGATGAGCTGATCATTTGAATCAGGTGTGTTGGAAGAGAGAAACATCTAAAACGTGCAGGACTGTGGCCCTCGAGGACCAGGAGTTACTGGGACACCTAATGGATTTGAGCCATCTTTAAATCCACTTGAGCTGTAAAAAAAGGTGCATTCAGTAATGTTAAAGAAAATGAATGTGGAAAGCAACTGCCAATTAATCTTCACAGAGATCACAGCGTTTATTATTTATGCCATCCAGCTGAGAGTGGCTGCTCCGTCTCAGAAGAACAGTGTGCTTCAACAGTGTTTACAGTAGTGTTCCTACCATTTAAAATGACTTCTAGAGTGAACACAAGAAAGTAAATGTCTACTCTTATATGAATGTCCCAAGAGTTGGCTGTACATAGATGATTTAATCCTTCTTGTCGTTTTATTTTGAAAAACTTACACAATAATTTAGAGGTGCTTCTATGTGGAGGTGACAAAAAAAATGTGTGCCTCTAACTCTTGTTGCTGATTTAAACTTTGCGATGCCCAGACAAGCATTTTAACATGTCAGACAAGGTGAAAGCTGTAAATAATAAAATCAATAATGTCATAATTTAATTCCGTGATGGCTGAATTAGCTGCTTGGGTTTGATGGGTCTTGGCATCGTGGCTCGCTGTCGTGGCTTCTTAGTGAGTAGAATATAATCAACGTTAATGCTCTGAGTAGCGCCCGTGCTTTTTCCTGGCAAGCTGTCCTTCTGACAAACTGTATTTAGGATAATAAATAGAAGAACTGCATTTAAAACAGCAGGGGAACTATAAATAGTACGCCAGCTTATTTATAGTGGGTGCAGTGGTATTGATTATTATAAGTCTGGCTTTTAATGGTGGCGAGATTACATTTCATACGGGGTGTATTTTTCAGGATATATGTAGGATAACACCACTGCATGAATGAATATTTATTTAGGATGAACCCTACTGACTTAGCACAGGGCTGTTGGTGTTCCTGATGGTCATAATGCTCTTTATGACATTTAAACCCCAATATTTTAACAGTGTGCATTATCATCCAAGACCTGCTGCACATAAAAAAAAATGGAATTAATTAAAATAAGAGTCATAAAGAAAGGAGGAGTCTTGTTTTCACACTTTAAAATTTATTGCTTGGATGCATTAGTCGTGATCGGACAACACAGGCTGAATTTAAAAGTGTAGAAAACCACAGCGGTGAGCATCAAGAGGTCTGAAACGCGTCGGCCGCTGTGTTTCCCGGTTTGATTTACAGACGTGTGATGCGTCCCAACAGGCGACACATTGTTTTAAAATATGACCTGAAATTACGAGACGCAGTTAAAAGTCACCGAGCACTTACTGTAATTGACCGTTTCCACAAATCTGCCGCACTTTGACCGTGCAGCTTGTGGAGAATGACAGCTTTTATTAGAATGTCTGTCTGTCTTTTTAATGTTTGCACTTTGTTTGACATGGAAAAAAAATAATGTTACTGCCAGTAAAACACACACACGGGATGTTTAGATGATGTTTATTGGTCTCAGATATTAGAGTACATTATGACATAAAAAAACTAAATCAGAAAAACTGGAAATGCTCATATATGCAGATTTAAAATGACCGTGTCTTATTTGTACCATCCACCATCTTTCTTCTAATATTTAAACTTTATTGCTCTGTTGTAGTGGCCATCCCACTTTGTAATTCAAACATGCAAAAAACATAAAAATGAGAATAAAAACTAAATCTGAAAAACTGGAAGTGCTCACATATGAAGATTTAAAATGCCCATGTCTTATTTGTAACGTCCACCATCTTTCTTCTAATATTGAAGCTTTATTGCTCTGTTGTAGTGGTCGTCCCATGTACGCTTTTGTTTTAAACATGCAAAAACATAAAAATGAATTTCCAAGTTGCTGAAAAGAGCAGCTGGTAAGAGAAAGCAGATAGTGCTCACAAGTCTCCAAGGTGCTTGGCACAACCATGAACAGAAGATGCACTGCATGGTTAGATCAAGCACAATGGAGTCCTGGGCGAAGACGGAAAAAATCCACAGAGTTCGGCGCAAGACGTCCAAGAGACCTGAAAGCTTGCTGACTCAGGTTATGTGCAAGTGTTAGGAGAAAACAAGTAAGACAGAAGATATCTTTTTAATCTCACGTCGTCAACTCATCCATTAAAACTCCTAAAAGAAACACAACGATTATATTTTGGGTTCTCGTTGAAGGACGGCCCCACAGTTCGGTTGCATCCGCAGTGCAAAAATCGAAAAAGTCCAAAAGATGTGATGGAAGAGATCTAAGTAAGAGAATGTACAGCTGCTTACACGATGATTAGAAAAGAATTGTCACGACTCGCCGTTAAGAACATCTGCAGAATCCAAAAAAAAAAAAAAAAGATTAGTCATAGGTCACGCTCACTGCGGAAAAAAGGGCTACACCCTTCCTGCGCACGAACTGCGTCAAACCCCACCCTCTCGCCTTTCACGCCCGACTCCGACAGCCCCGACTGAGAAAGAAAATCTAAAAAATTTTTACCACTGTTAACGTTAGAAAACTCAACATTTTCAGGGATTTACAGCAGGCCCCAAGAAGTGGTGGTGGTGGCTTCATTCAATTAGTTTCCTCATCAGTCTATTGGGCTTTCTCCAGGTAATCAATGGAAACAGAGTTTGGGTGATCTTGTTAAGAACTGCAGCATCTCATAGAGTCCAGAAGCAGAAATTTTTTTACTTGTAATTGACTCAGAGCCAGCCTGGGTGGCCCGGGACACCAATGAACTCAAGTCTAGTTCTATCGCTGGTGTCCATCTGAGGACATCCATCACCTCCTCACCGTAAAGACTCGACCGCTTCTGACACTTTAGGTCCTAACTGCGTTAACGGTCACTGAGTGCAATGTCAAGAGTCGTGATACCATCGGGCTAAGAGAGCCGCCTTCTCCCAAAGGTTTGACAATCTTGTTACCTTCTCCAGCGTCTCTTTCAGCTCCCCAGGGACATCTTACTAAAATGAGAAAGCATTGGTACCGTAATCAACTTAGAGCTCCGGCAAACGGAGCCACTTTGGGTGATGGAGCGACAGCATGATGCATATTAATGCAGCAAAGAGAAACTCTGTAGCGACCGAATGGCACGAAAAATGGGAGTAGTTTGGGTGAAAACGGTGGGCGATGGCAGTGAAACAGACTTCTGAGGATGTTTTAAAGGGGTGATGGGATGGCGTGATGGTTTTGATGCAGAGATGATTGTGACACGTTATTTTCTTACCTTGTTTTCTGGTTTTTCCTTCTTTAGAGTTGTTCGCCGTCATCGATGTCTTTGAGGATTTGCCGTCAAGTCATGTGTGAATCTCTAAGAATTTTCAATATAACTCAAAAGTATCTGATTTAAAGCAAAAAAGACATCAAATCCTCTTTAGACTAAAGGTCACAGCGACCAACTCAACAAACTATCAAAAAAGAAATTCAAGAAAATTTTGTTTTAACTTACTTCACATTTTACTGAAAACCTCCAGTTGCTTTCTTTGGAAAGTCCCGTCTACACCTCTGGTCTTTCCAAGGAACCCACCTTTTCCATCCGCTGGCCTCAGAGTCGGTGCAGGCGGCTGAGGGCGAAGAAGAAGACGACTGAGGCGCTCTGAGCTCGGGGTCTTCCAGCTTGCTCTACTGGAGACAGACTGTCCTGGCTGCGTCCTCAGCACCCTTCAAGTCCCCATCTCCTGCCCCTCCTTCCAGCTAGGAGGGGTTGGCGATGTTCTCTTGGGATAGGTGCACTGGCAAGGAGGACTTGGTCAGGCTGGGATTGGACGTGGGTTGGGGAGTTTTGGGGGGGCCGCCGGTTCCGCATTTCATAAATATTAATACAGAGTCCTCCCTCTCCAAATGGGTAGATTCTTTAATTTTGTTAGAGGGGGAAGTGCTTTATTCACTTAATGGCTTTTATTAGTGCCCGGTCTTCAACTCTTTCATTAGCTAAAGTGCTGCTATAATTTACAGGGTAAAAGGGGGTGGGGAAGAGGCGGTGTCTGAGCTGGGTTGATCCTGCTGCTGCTGGACGGGCAGGCATCACCCTCAACCACTGCAGCTTTTACTAAAAAGCAGCTTTGAAGAAACTGTAGCCTGCAGCATCGAATACACTCTGGATAGCATCTTTATTGAACCATTTGAGTGTCGTGAGCATGTTGCACGTTGACTTTCCATCATCCTGTTATCTAGATGTTCAAATCAGACGGTTTAATAACCAACAATATTGATAATAGTCTTGACAATCAAATGGTTTCCAGCACATGAGCGGAAAAATCATTTTTGGTCATGCAAAGTGGTTTTCTGCACAACCGCATTGTGGATTTGATTCACTGGGAGTCAAGTAGTGAGATACGTTTCTCTTTGCTCTTAGTTATCTCCTGGTTTCATCTTATTCCAGTTAATGCAGACAAACGAGTTCAGGTTTTGTAAATGATTGTGTTGCTCAGTAAAATCTCATTTCCTGTTTCTGACACATTTAGATTGAT